AAAGGCAAAGAGTAGATTAAAGCCATTTTCGCCTGGACATTGTGGGCTTTAACATCATAACATTCACAGTTAGGTTTGGCAAAGATTAAAGATGTTTCTGATTCCGTCAGCCTTTCAATTTTGAAGTCATGCTTCTGCTCATGGACAGTACTCTTTCTACCATAAATTCCTATGGCATTTTACACAGCGATACCAATACTGATACCATGGTATCAATATTGATTCCTAAAAGGTCCTTTTTAAATTACAAACCAAAACTAAGTGTGGCTTCAACCAGAAATGTGTGTGAGGTGCTAGAAGTGAATATATTTACTAAGTATAATGGACTGTATTAACATTAAAGGGCCCATAAGCTACATTTTCCTTGCCTTTTGTCAAAGCAAAAAACAAAGAAGGTCAAAATTAGGCCTGTCACAATGATAAACTTTGAGCTGGCAATGAATTGCCACATACAACTGCGATTAATAGTTCAGCTGTGGATTCTTTGTAGCTCTCAATTGACAGCAGAAACAGCTCAAGCCCAAGTAAACAAACATTGCTCACTGTCACCCTCTAAACATGTTGTATTACCAGAAATTTGAACTTGACATGTCTCAATAAATGCGTTTTCTGTTTTACTTTTTTGCTTTAAGCCACAGGACGAAATTCTAACCACCCAGGCAACATAAACATGAGTGTAAAAGGTAAAAATTACAGAAAATAAATCACAGTCAGCTCAAATAATTGTAATTCTGCAATAACTGATATGCATTTTCAAAATCGTTGATTTTCAATTTTGATTTAAAAAAAATTTGACGTCCTGTTTTACAGCTGTAAAAACCGACCTGTGTGTTAAGAGGAGTTCAGGGAAAAGCTTTTCGTCACTGCAGTACTGTGGTTGTGCTGCAATATTTCCCTTACTGTACCGTTATGCTGTTAACTCAGCATTTCTGTTCTCAGGAATAAGGAAGTTGCCAAATTCAGCTTCTCTGCACTCATCAGCGTCTCTGCACAGACCATTGAGTTTTAGAGCTCGCTCAAGGATAGCATAAGACAGATGGCTTTCAGACGACAGACGGCAGTCATATCCATAATCTTTTTCTCCCACACACGCTTTCTGCAAGACTTAAGAGGTGAAACAGAAAGCTGGATTCAACGGTCAGCTTAAGGTGGCCCAAGCGCAAGAGATACAAAACAGATTAGCAAAAAAAAAAAACCTGTCTGACATAACTAGTGATAGATGCTCAGATAATTATGCTGGAATGTAAGCTAGAACAACGTTCTGAACATTCCTCAGACCAGCTGACTGATAAAACATTTAGATTAAAACACTTTCACTGTTGTATACGTGTGGGGCGTGTTTAGCAGCGCATTTTCCTTAAGAAGAAGGTGGTTAGCGTGACAGCAAAGGAACGCAGTGCTTTGCCCCCTAGCCACAAAAAAAAAAAATGAAAAACCACAAACACAGCTAAAATTACTTGTGAAAGTGTTTAGTGGTCCCTTATTTAAGAGACATGGAAGCGAAACACTGACTTGTGGGTCCAGTTCTCATTGGTTTTCAAAGAACAGCTGTAAAAATGTCATTTATGGGCTCCTCATAGCAAAACACAACAGCTAAACAGAGCTAGACATCTGTGTGTTTGGTTAAGGATGACGCATTCTGCATTACTTTTAACACGTTTAAACATAAATCTGACATAAACTGTGTTAACACACCAAGAAAGAAAATGTCCTTAACTTTGACATATTGAGATCCTATTTCAAGTAATTCTGGATTATTTCTATTAGTCCATTCATCAAGAAAAGTTCATATGGTAGAGGTGGGTGACATCACAGGTATTTGATAATATGGATGTACAATCTTATCCACAAAGGGCTGGTGTGGCTGCAGGTTTTCATTCCAAACAAGCAGGAGCTCACCTGATACTAAATGCTTTGTGAGTTGGTCACGGTCTATAAACAAGATGAATAATCCTGGAAGAATGTTTTTAATAAAAAATTTTAGACTACACTGAACTAAATCTTTAGCATTTATAAGATGTAGAAACTGGGACTAAATATACCTGTATTAGCATTACAAAGAAATGTAATATTCTGTCTGTTACAAATAAAAATAAAATGAAAAAACCTAACCATTCTGCTATACCAGAGTACAATAAATCCATCAAAGTGATATTAAAATATCAGTCTACACCAATCGTCTGGCCATACTGATACGAGTCAGATATCAACATGCAAGTAAATTCAATAAAACAGGCTCTCTTTATAAAGAAACATGTAGTTGTTCTGCGTTCTTTAAGGATCAATGTCCACGATATGCCCAGAAACCCATTCTGTGATGTAACATTATCAAGATAACTATAAATATTGTACCTTTGCCCACCTCTGTGTAAAGAGCAGCTGGCATTTTCAAAAAGGAAACATAAAGCAGAAAAAACTGAGTCATGGGGTTTTAATACGAGAGTAGATACAAGCACATTTTACACATGGCCTGCAAAATACAGTAAACAACCACAGACACTCTGTCCTCCAGCTTCAGTGAGGAAGCATCTTCCATGTAATGTAACAGCTCATTAACTTCACACGTTTAGTGCCTGGGCCTACAAAAGCACTCACAACTCCAAAAGCACAGCCAAGACAGCACAGCTATAAACGTCATCATATTCCAATCAAGACCTTCCTCAGTTTAACACAGACTAACAAACTTTGCTACAGTTAGGCCCAATCCCATTTCACCCCTCACCCCTACCACTTATCCCTTAGCCCTTAACGTCTAGGGGTTGGGTACTATTCAAAGGTTTACACATATGAAAGAATAGGCTGTCATGTCATGTCACTTAAAACGATAAACTGCAATATAACAAATTTTGCTAATGAATTGGCTGAATCATTTCGATGAATTGTGATTTTAATTTTGAGCACCATAATTATTCCCCATGGTGAAGCTAATGCACAGCCTTGTATTTTTTATTTACAGTGCTTTTATTAGTTGTGCTCTCTGCCCCAGTTAGCATCTCACACAGCAGTGACCCTCCCCACAGCAAAAGCCTTGTCCTTCCTAAGCCCCTCCAGGTTACCGAGCTATTTTAGTGAACACAGATCCACACACAGGGGGTGCTGCACACATGCACACAGATATACACGCCCTACTGGTGTCGCCGGAAGGTGAGAACTTGGAGTTCGAGCTTTAACTCTGGGTGTGTTTGTGTTATGACTCTGTGATTTATTGGAACTACTGAGTCCCAACAAGACTTACGCATTACATAAACTGATTTCAAATAATATTTTCACTTTCAAGATCGGAAGATCTGTCATGAACTCACAGAGCTAATTTGCTATAATAAAAAAAGGTGAGATATCCAATTCATCTAGTTACTGTCTGAACCTGTCAAAACCTTCTATCTCCAAAATTGTAACTTTACAGAAGAAAGAAAAAAACATATTTTACTTTTAATGCAAGTCAATGTAACCAGACGTTTTCCCCAAGTAATTCTGGACCATTTTTTTTTCATCTATTCATCACGAAATTCACCATTGAGGGGCCACAGACATTTTCAAATTATGTCAAAAACTTAAAAATGTAAAAAACAAAAACAAAAATGGAGAAAAAAGTTTTTTTTTCTGACAGCAGTGATATAGTATAATATATATTCCTTTTGCATTTGGCTAAACTTTGGGTACTCCACTGTTAGTGGGTAGTCCATCTACACACAACCTACAATATCAATAGCACGAATTAGGCTGGTGCAAGCTGGTTTTACACCAGACGAACCTTGGCATCATAGCAAAACCAAACACTTTGCTTTTGACACCAGTCGTGAGTGCATGCTGTGAAAGCATTTTGTACACGCCTTGATCAGCACATCACTCACATCACCTGTAGCCAGAATAAAAAGTGACCATGTCCGAATTTTTGAGCCCAACTAAACTAGTGGTTGGCCATTAAGAACATCCCAAAGTACATACATCACATGAGTATCAGCAAAAACAGTCAATGTGATAGACAAAGGTAAAAAAATAAGATAAAAAGACAAATCAATCTGCTAAACTTCTTGGCAAAATTAAGCCTTGAGCTTAACTTGTAGAAATGGCCACATTTAAAGCACAATTGCAATATAAGTCAGAACTATTACAATTCGATGTTTCGCCCAGATCATTCAACCCCAACTTTTAGTACGTTATAACACTTTTTTCTATAAAACTTAAAAAAAAAGGACAAACATGAGATAATTAACACAAAAAACAAACCAACTTGTGAAGAATTCTGGGCAGCTCCATCCCAAGTGCTACAATATTTATATTATTTAAGATTTTAAATAATTATTTAAGAGTTTCTGCTATTTGAGGAAGTAGGACAGTGGATTGATATCAGTCAGTAAAGAACAGTTTTAACTAAAACCTCTAAAAATATACTGGAAAATGAAGACCTTAATTGTAAATATAAAATTATATTGGCCAATATTACCAGTTATCAGAATTTTAGTGTGTAAAAATCACTAAGTCGCTAAATTTTCATAGCAAAGGATTTAAACTGAGTCTGGAAATTCTTGAAAACAGGTTCCTGCTCTATATAATCAGCCACAGAGATCAGCGCAACATCAGCACTCCAAGACACATTTTTCCACCCTTTGCTCCTTCCATACAGATTTGAGGAGAGAAAAGCTAGCGTATTCACTAAGAGCATATGAGCACAATCAACTTTTAAACCTGCAAATGGAACTAGCAGGCGCTCTGCAGCCTTACTGCTGTAAAACATAATGGCAGCCCATCTCACATGCAGACAGAGTGTGAGATAACAAGGTCAGGGGTGGGACCATTAAACACATGTGCGAACGGGGTCATTCAGGGCTTTTTCAAAAGCACAATCACTTACATAAAGGTTAGGATTTACAAGAAATGGCACGCTTTCCATTTTATGGCCTCCAGCGGCCAAAAGAGACCGGTCGGCACATGACCTTTTCACTGCTTCCAAAAACACGAGGACAATAAACGGATGATTGGTTAGAAAAGGCCACACTTACCGCCATGACCAGTTCAAAGGGGTGTTTGTACACGCGTACGGGGGATTGATATTTCTGCACCATTGTGGAGCCTACGTCTGTGCCAACCTGAAAACAAAGGCAGAGAAAGAGAAAGAGAGAGCGTGAGTTAGGCGGAAAACAAAAACCTTAGCTCAGAGCTGCACAATATGGACAAAATACTAGTACTGTGATTGCTACATACTGCAACTACAGAAAATAGTTTACTTTTATGGCCTTGATTCAATAGAAACATTCACCTAGAACAGGGGTTGGCAACCCAAATGTTAAGAAAAGCCATTTTGCCCTTTCAACAAAAATGAAACCACCTTGAAAACCACAACATTTTATTTCCATTTTACCTGTAAACATGTCTCAGTATGTGCTAAAGTCCTAGTATAGGCTAAAAATATAACATAATATAAACAAAAATCCAGACCAACTTTATTCTGCTTTCAGCTTTAGCTCCGCTATAGCCGCTTTTCTCGCATTTCCAGCAGGAAACTTTTCCGCAAAGTTAAATAGCTTTTTGTCAATGTTCAATTTTTTAATGAGGCTGAAGTCAGCTTTTCATTCGCCAGCTTTTGGTTCGAATTCTCCCGTTCCACCTTCAGTGGTGGCTGAGGTGCCAGAATGTAATTGCTGCACCATTTAAGGTGTAACAGGACAATTCGTTAAGCTTCGTGACTTTAGTGTTTGACAGTTTCTCACTGCAGATTAAACGTATCAGGAAACCAGTTTAAGTGAATATAAACGATCGATGTTTGTTTTAAATCTCTCTTTGCCTTTTCATTAGCTTCTAGCTAGGCAAGAATGTTGTCTGTGTTGCTATGGTGACCAGCAGTCTGCACGCCAATCTTTAGGGTTAAAGGGTGAATTTGCAGTTCTTCAATAACCAGCATTTAAGACAATTTATTCTCAAAACCATGTTAGAACGATCAGCAGAGCTTTATTTTACTGCAAATGAGGATTATTTTATTTTTACCTAAAAACTCTAATTCTGTTGCGGAGCCTCAACAGCGCAGTGAAAGAGCCGCTTGTTGCCAACCCCTGACCCGGAACCACGATTGGACGCTCACATCACAAGGACTCTGTACCATTCCAAAAATTTCAATACAAGCACAGATATCTTTGCTGAAACTGATTCCTCAACAACACCTCTCTCCAATTCTTTCTCTTAAATTAAAGCTTGAAAGTAGATGTGGTTTAAACCAGAAATGAGAGTGAGGTGCTGGAAGTAGGTGTATTTGTTGAACGCAATGAAAGGCCCAATTTTTAACAGAGGGAAAAACAATGTTTTGAAAAATGAAAAAAATTGCATATTCATGTCATCTTCCACGGTGAGTCTGAAACTGACTGGCTGCAGAAAATTTAATTAGACGTAGCTTTATAGTCAGTGCTTTACAGAAGCGTTAAAAACCAGGCTGACCAGTCAGCAATCTGTTGTCATGGTTGCAGTCCAAGCAAATGAGGTTTGTTTGCTTCTTTTTAATGAAAGACATTATGAGCAAATCAAATCCCACCCACTGACATGAAAACACCTTTATCGCTCAGTAAAGACCTTCAACTCTTGTATAAGTTGATGGAACTCCATAATGCTGTCTTTTCTGGTAGAATGAGGTGTTCCCATCCCAATATGAGCGCATTTAGTTACAGTGCTTATAAGAAGAATTATTTGAGGACTACTATGACTGCCACAACTCCATCTTCCTCTAGAACATCTTCCACCCTTGTCCTCAAGTGTCTGGTCTAATAATGTCAGGCCTCAGGGACAATAGTTGAAAATTAGCCAGATGGCTAACACTGTCTGGCACATTCACTTTGTGTTGTGTATTTTTCCTGATAAATAAATTAACCAATTAATACTCAGGGTACACAAGCCTTAATCAAGAAGCAGTGAGGTTGACAACATGAATAAGAAATGCAATGTACACAGACAATCCAGTATCCAGAATTTGGAACAAGCATATTTATCTACTTAGATATTGAAATTTGGTCTTGAATGATACGGAAAAGTTTTTAATAGATATGGAAAATTTTTCAAATAATTAGTAGGACACTAGGGCCTTGTTCAGACTGATGACCTAGATCCAGATTTTTGGCATGTCCAGATTCAGATTGTACCCAGATAGATTTTTTTTTATAGTCTGGACAGCAAAAAACACCACCGATTTCTGCATAGCAGATCCAAACCACATGTGGAGGTGGATTGAAATGCGATTCCAGTCGTATTTTTCACAAGCGTGTTTCAGTCTGGATGCTCCAGACACTCAAAATGGATTTCAAAATGTCTTTTGCAACACTTGCAACACAACAAACAACAATGAAGTCAAATCCAGAGTGACAGAAGTGCTGGGATTCAAGAAGAGCTCCAAAGATTCATGCTTATGCCAGAGGATTTTGAAGAGTTGGGAGGGTGTATTGAAGTAATTCTTCCTGTACCATAAACATACTGAAGTCAACACCCAGCCCTACACATCACACAGTAAAACATATGCATATTATATGTTGATTCGAGAGCTCATTTACATGCAGCCTTCCAATATCAGTACTGCAATGGCTGAAATACCACAATAACAATGAACAAACAACACACTGTGCATCCCTACTTCAAGTTATGCAAGACACTACAATGGCAGATGCAGCCACGCATCTGGGAATTACAAGACTTGACGCCACGTCCTCACACAATACATTGCCAAAACAACACGCTCCCAGCAAATCATAGGAAGCCAGAGGCGGATTTGACAGGTAGTAGCAAAGGGCAGCGCTGGGAGTTTCGCAGGCGATTGAAATGCCTCTCAGGTTCAGTGGAGAGGTGGCCCGTGTCTGGCAAAGAGCCGGAGTGTCTACAGCTTAGCTGCTTCAGTGAAATACTGCAGAGAGGCAGAGGAGAGGGGGACGAAGGAGGAGTCTGTCTCATTGATAAATACAGTGCTCCTCTTCAATCAATCAACAATAAAAACAAAGTGCTCCATAAAAGAGTGACGCAGAGGCTTTCATTCTTAAAACGGCAGAAGGGAAGACTGGTGAAGGTGAATGAAAGTCAAAATGGCAAAGCAAAATGACATCAATTCAAGTGGAGGTAGAATACATGGTTACTGGAACTGTGAAGCATGAAACATGCACAGGAAAAGGAATCATCTTGTATAATGAACCAATGAATTAACCATTTATGACAATGATTATTAAAAAAGACCAAATAATAAACACGGTCTTAACTGATCAACAATAACCCATAAATGTTTACGTATCCGCATCTGCAGCTATAATGCATGCAAAATATCAGATACTGGCGTCAGCCCACAAATCCTATATCGGTGCATCCCTGGTTATTTTACATACAATAATAAGTGGACTTAATAACTATGCCAAGTTATCTGCCTTGAGGTTTGATCTCCACCATTAAAATATGATGGATTATGGCTATTCATTTTATTGTAACTTAATTCACGGTGTTACATAACTTCCTCAGAATCCTTTACAGCTATGGTCATCATTCTAGACTCACCTCTGGAAATATTTCACTATTATTTGCAGTTTCCTAGGTTGTGTTCAGATTGCAGGCAAATCAGATCTTTCGAGATGACTGTTCGCACTGTTGTTTGCAAGTGTTCAGATCGGATTTGTGTGTCCAGACATCACTAGTCTATCTGCATGGGTTGCCATGGTAACAACGTAGGCATCTGTAACTACATAGCTATGCTGGTGATGCAGTTTTCGAACACAGATTCAGGAGAGATGGAGGTGCATCATCTCTCCCTCCAAACTCTTCAAATTCTCTGGCATAAACATGAATCTTTGCCGCTCTTCTTCAATCCCAGCACTTCAGTCACTCTGGATTTGACACCATCGTTGTTTGTCGTGTTGCAAGGTACGCGAAAAGACACTCTGAAATCTAATTTGAGCAGCCAGAGCGTCCAGACTGAGACGCATCTGCAAAAATCTGATTGGAATTGTTTTTCAATCCACCTCCAAATGTGGTTTGGATCTGATTTGCTAAAAACGGACTTAATGTGTTTTTTTGGCTGTCCAGACTACCAAGAATTAATCTGGATACAATCTGCATATGCCAAAATGAACTTGTGAAGCTGCACAGGACTAACATATTAATATCATTTTATACACTTGTCTGCAAACAAAATTGGTTCTATACTAGCAAAAATACTGACAAAAATTTCTTTGTAAGATTTGTTGAGAAGCTAGTCGTTTAATTTATCCAGTAATCAGGTGAAACTGAGCAGCTGTGACAGGTATGAATTTGTATAAAATGCATAACTATGATGCTATTTGTTATAAGTACAAATGTCTAAAGTGCTGTTGAGTAATTATGACAGTTCTACTTAAAACATGGAATAAGAAACACACCAAAAATACATTACTGGAAAACACATCATACTATAAATAAAAACGGAAAGTGTGGTAGTTTCTAGTCTATGTGGAAAGAGGAAAAACATTCCAGGAATCCCACTTCCTCTTAGTGCCCTGTTTTTTTCTGGTACCTGAGTGTACAAACAGATGTGCAGCTACAGGGACATCTGGAAATATCCTCACTAGAATGTTGCTTACAAATAAATGTGGCCCCCAAAACACACTCATTTTTGCTACCCCTAGTCACTATTGAACACTGTGCACAGCTACATCAATCTACTCTAAAACTAACCTACATCTATCGCCAAACTGCACTCATTTAAAAGCAACTAGCAAATATTTTTCTCAAACAGTTCAGTTACCAGCATCGTTCAGGCAGTGTGCGCTAAAGGGCAGCAACAAAGAAAAATGAAAATATATTGATGAAACTGAAGTTACAAAAATGTTAATAGCATTCAATATAAAAACAGTTCACACAAGAGATGGTTCTTCAGCTAAGGACAAACTGCCTACATAACTAAGGCTAAAGATTGAAAAAAAAAAATGAATAACAAGTCATACTGAGTGTTTTTCTTACTCTAATAGACCCAATTTCAATCCATTGGTCCTTTCTGGGCCAAATTGGGTGCATTAGAGCAGAAAAACATAAAACCTGCAGGAACTGGACAGAGAACCGCCGTTCTAAAGCTCAGCTAAACTCCACCAGAAACATGAATGTCATTTGCTGCACAGCTAACAGTTTTTCCGCAGTTGTCTGGCATTTTAAATCAATGTTTTGTACAGCAGTGCACATTTTATTGTTTAATTCAGCTTACGAATGGCTTAAAACCTGATGAGAGAAATTAGAGAAAGGAGAAAACTTTTGTTAAGCTTGTAACAATCTTCTATTGTTACAAGCTTAACAAAAACAGCAGAACCATTTTTGGTGCTATATATTTTTTTCCAATAGGGTTCTATATAGAGCTACATACATTCTCCATCAACCTGAAGACCCATTTCACCGTGCAGAGAACCATTCGGGTATGAAATGATTCTATATATAACTCATGGTTCTAAATATTACTCTTCTCTTTACTAAAGATGCCTTGAAGAACCATATTTTAACAGTGTAGAGCTGGACACCTGCTCTGTCAACTGTGTCAGAGCAAACAAGCGCACATAACTGGAAAAACAGCTAGAAAACACTGCTAGACTGCAGTGTTTTTCTGTTATTTTGCCAGCCCTGCTCCTGCAGCCCTCCTGCACTGCACATATCAGTGTTTTTCTGCTCCAGTTCCCCAGTTTTACCCCGATGGAGCGTTTGGTAAAGAGCTAACCTAATGAGTTTAAACAAGTGTGTCAAGACTAAATTTACAGCACAAGGGGATTAATATATTTAACAAGAGTAAGACTGAGGACTTAAGGCTTACTGTTTCTCCTTTCTCTTCTGAAACATCTGATTTATCTGTATTCCCTTATAAGATAACCTGAGAGGGGTTTGTTACAGCACTAAAATGTGATTCACAGCGAAAATGTATACGTTCGGTCTTCTTGAGGAACACTGCAGTTACATTAATCTAGCTAACGTTACGTGGCTAAGCCGGCTAACGTTAATTAGCCAGCCCGCTAACACTAACAACAAGCTACAGCGCTCGCTCTCTCACATCACTAGCTAAGTAATGTCACCTAACAGGTCGTTATTGTAGTACATTTAACCCAAAATAATGCCTAATCTCACTGACAGCAGGCTATTTTATTAACTGACACAACATTATGTAGACAACTTGGTTAGCTAACGCTAGCTAAGCTAACCAGGATACAGCTGACGTTAACCCGACAAGCTGAAGTCAGCTTCTTGCTCGATTTTCCAGTTCCACCTTAAATGGTGCAGCAGTTCCCTGCTGGCTTCTGACGGGGCTGAATGTTTAACTGCCGCCATTTAAGGTGGAACGGTAAAATTCGAACAAGAAGCTGGCGAATAAGAAAAAGACTTCAGTTTCGTGTTTACCAGAACAGACTAGGGTACTAAAAGAGTCAAAAAAAAATAAATTTCGACAATTTAGTAGTCGATATTCACTTACCGGTCAAAAAACTATTAAATTAGGTTTTATATCATCCAGAACGAGGTTATTTGTGGCAGTCCGTCTTGCTTTCTCAACCGGAACGTTTTTATCGCATCTTTGCTTAGCTTTTCGACTAAAAACACATTTCAGGGGGTTTTATCGCAGCCTTTACGACTCTAAAAAGGCTAAAAAGGATATTTTACTCATAATAAAACGAAGCCCCTGCATTTTCCGCAGGGCTTTTTGAGGTATCAGACGAACTCACTGCACTGTGCTGCCTCACCAGCACAAGTTTATATTCTTCCTCTCCACCACAGAGGCGGGAGTGGGCGGGGTGGCTGTCAATCATTCGTCTGCGACAGCCAATCAAATTACAGATCTTGCCTGCGACTAAAACAGGGCAGCCAATGACGACGCAGACTGCCACAGACCCACCCCCTGTTCCCACTCCATTGAGATATTAAACAGTCTTTCATTACCAGTTTATTTATGTGCAGAAAACGCTGGCAGTTTGATGGACAGGTTGAGGCAACAAGCGATTGGCTGATGCAAAAAATGGTTGCCAGTACGCCCCACCTTCCTATTGCTGTCTCCCTGCATGCAGTATTTTTCAAATCCTTTATTAGTGCATCAACACAAACAAACAAGTGAGGGGCAACAACCATTTCAAAGAAATAACACACATACCAGGCTGCATGCAGCTTTTCTTTTCACACTTCCCCAGCCATCACAGGCCTGAGTGGTAGAAACTACGTTACTTAGTTCAGAAGATGTGTCTAATGTATGTAGACGCCTGTTCATTATAGCATTAATAAAGAGGACTTTGTCCTCCTTTGCTGGAGTAACAGCCTCTACTCTTCTGGGAAGGCTTTACACTAGATGTTTGAACATTGTTTTAAGAATTTGATTGTATTCAGCCACAAGAGCATTCGTGAGGTCAGGTACTGATGTTGGATCGTCAGTTCTGGATCACTCCAACTCATCCCAAAGGTGTTGGATGGAGCTCCATCACTCCAGAGGACACAGTTTCACTGCTTCACAGCCCAGTGCTGGGGCACTTTACACCCCTCTGGCCCATGCTTGGCATTGGATATGGTGACCTCATGTGCAGATGCTCCAGAGCATCCCGTTCTATTGGTCAGTGCTTTTCTATGGAGATCATACAAGCTGTGTGTGTGTGATTGAATGCCCATGTCAGCAATGAAAGCACTTTGAGGTAGCTGAGTTTACATATGAGAAGGGGTGTCTGGATACTGTTGGACATGAAGTGTGACGCTCTATACATTCAATCCGATCTTTATGCAAATTAACAAACGTTAGCTGAAGGTAGAGTAGCACAGTGGACAGTGCTTTTGCCTTATAGCAAGAAGAGCCTGGGTTTGATAACCAGGGTCTTTCTTTTTGCACGGTCACCCAAAGACATGCAGTGTGAATGTATGATGTTTGTGTGTTTCCTGTCTTCTGCCTAATGAATGCTGGGACAGGCTCCTGTCACCCTGGAGGATCAATGGCTTAGAAAATTAATGAATAAATGAAGGTGGTGCAATCAAAATTAGGCTAAATCACCCTTAAGTGCCTTCAAACTACTTAAACATGCTATAAATAGTATATGAAGCTGGACTTTAAAATGTCTTCCAAGATCAATTTCAATTACTTAAAAAAAAAATAAAGAAAGAAATATATAAATAAATAAATAAAAATAAATAAATAAAGAAAGTTTAATCAAGGCTAGTCACTCATCTCGGGTTTTCAAACCAGGGTCCTGAAGTGCTTCTTATTTTGGTGCTTTTATTGGTCAAAAGCACTACATTACAGTTAGCAGTGAATAATAAGGTTCAGTAAGATGTACTAGAGAAGAGAATTGCTATTGTATTGCAATAGCCATTTTTAATCATTGTATCAATGTCGATAATTGTAATGTAGTTTTTTAAAAATGGTTTTCTTTGGTTACTATTTTTTCTTACAGTGCACTGCATGAATCTCTCCATCATGAATGTATTTTAAAATGTTTTAGGCCAAAACCTTTTCAATACTATTGTAAAACAGTGTGTCAGGCAATGTATTCATAACACTTCATCTGATAACTTTCTGTGAGGGAGCTTTTAGAGGTGGACGTCCGGTTCCCATCACCACTACTGTGAACAGTTCTAACTCAATAAGTTTCTCTAGAACAGAGCATTTCACACCAAACCACTCTGAAAGACTTTGTTTGCATTACAGGAATTTCAAGAAAATGGTGGAATTCCTCCTTACAGTGCTCACAACAGTGAAAACAACTGCAGTATGCATACTTTTGTGTATTGCAGCCTTCTGCGGTATCAATATTGCAAAGGCCAATTTTGCAATAACGATTATATAATATATTTCTCAGCCCAGGCTGTAATTCTCTAGGAGACCATTGCATTAAACACTGTAAGCCACAATACACTTGTTTGTTTCTCAAATACTAATTGAGCAGTCTAAGTGGGATTTTAGTCTACAAACCTAATCTGTGCTCAAGAAACCGGCCAAACACATCATTAATCTGAATGTGAAACGTGCCGAAGCTGAGAGACTTCACAGTGTCGGCCTACCACAGCACTGCCAGAGATCAGGACAGACAGTAATCGTGCTAAATGTTATGTAACAGGCTTACACACGTATAAATGTTTATAGGACTCACAGCAGTGCTTACATTCCCGACCGCTTCACACGGAATGTACGATAATTGACCACCTTCTCAGGTAGTACCATCAAACTGGATGTCACTACTGAATGGACTACACTTTGAGAGATAGTTGGTCATTGCATTTTAAAACAGTTACACTTCAGCATATTTAAAGGGGCATTCCAGCTTAAAACTAAAGTTTAATGTTATTGTCTTGTCATGCAATATTCTAGTAGTAGATGATTTTAGCCTGCAGTGATCATATGTGGCTGCTAAATGACTAAAATACCACCAGTTTACAAAATAACTGTCACTGGGTGCTGGTGCTTTACCCACTAGTAAATTTGACATGCAATCATTTCGTAAAAATATGATATTTTCAGCACAACTTAAAGGCAGCAGTGCAATCAATCCTGACTGCTAGCCTAGCCACTGAGCTATAGGCTAAGAAGTACAACCAAGCTAGCATTAGTGTAACTTTACTTCAGATTCTATCTTTATTCAGTATAGAGAGTTTTTTACCCTTTCAGCTGGAGAAAAGAAGCCACTTTGATAAGGTTCCCTGCTGGAAAAAATGATGAATTCCATCCTGGTCTAATGCTGCTTTCAAGTGGTCTCAGAAACTGGAAAATATTCATTTTCCTACTTGTAAATTGCACTCGAATGGTTGACCTCTTCCGGCTTTAAAAAACAACTTGGCACAACTTGGCAGTGAATGGAAACACACACACACACACACACATATACAGGGAGATTCACTCGAAAGAGGCCCTGAATATTCTGTAATAACTCTCTCTAGAAAGAAGCAATCTGAACAAAACAATGTGCAATGTGCTCCTCAGTACATGGAGCTTCGAAGGAGCCAGGATGCCCCTGCGTCGGAGCGATGAGGCAGGCACCGTTGTTCAGGCAAGGAACGTTGTTCAGGCAAGGAACATTCAGGAACATGGAGCACCGGCATCGAAATGTGTCTGGCAGAAAACAGAGATCATGTCCAGCATTGTATGTAATGCAATTGATTACACATACCTCAAGGTATGTAGCGTATTTTTTTGGTTCAGATTGTTTCATCCTAACGGGACTTACAGCAGAATATTCGGGGTCTTTTTCGAGTGAATCTCCCTGTACATACATATACATATATATAATTTGAAAATGCTTGCTGTCCTTTACATTGTATGTAAATGTTGAGGTGAATGGACAAACAGAAATGACCCAAAATGACTTGGAAAATACAACGTTAAGTATTTATTTGTTAACTATTTGGTTCACACAGCGGTTTGATGAGCACCCAAACGCAGCATAAGATGATTTATGCTGGTTTAGAATCCAAAACACAATATATACATGGTTTTGCTGGTGACCAGCCGTACTGGTCCATGCTGTTTTTTTTTCTAGCAGGGTAGAGTTAGCCAGGTAAGTATTTTGCTAATTTTTCTTTTAGCTTGTTGCCTTCTTTTTTAACTATCTGCCGACCAACTATTGTAAATGTATATTTCAAAACTGTCTGCCTACAAAAAGTTCCATAAAGGCTGGAGTGTCCCTTTAAAGTAGAACAAAAACAGAACTCTCATGTATTAGAAATAAAGGTTTTTGTGACTATATATTGCTGTGAATATGAAAAATGTCCTCTCTGTGTACAAAAACATCTCTGTATGCATACTACAGTAAAGAAATAACCCTACAACTGATATGATTTTGTAACATCTCTTGCCATAAGTCACACTCTACCATGAAACTTGTTGGCTAATATTTCATTTTTATGTAATAGACCAGGAAAAGCTCATTATTTGTAAAAAAACAGGAAAAAAGATGACCAACATCTGCCTCAGCGCTCTAATCTGTTTTAAAAACATTACTGGAATTTTCAATTTCGCTGAACTACGCAAATAAGATTATCTTGCATCAGTGTGATTTCCTGTGCAGACCATGATGTTAAACATTAGCGCACACACATACATGCATATTAAATCACACCAGATTTGGTAATGAAGGCAGTAATCATGGCCTTAAGAGAGGCCAAATTCCCAGCCATTAAAAGGTCCCAGTGCTTTGGTAATCATCCTGTTTGTACTTATGAAACAGACTCCATCAAGGCCACCACATGGAAATTTCTGCTCACATTCTTACATAATGGTGGTATATCCCAACTCATAACATTGCCGGGGGTTTGTCTAGGGTTTGACAAGGGAGAAAACACACCACAATATTGGCGCCAAAGTTTTCCTGGAGAGCCACTGCCCTGCAAAATTTAATTAAACACACATGGCTCTGCAGTGGGACACCCTCAAAGACTTCTAGGCCTTTAAAGAAGGTCTATTGATTTCTGTAAAATGTATTTTTCATTATTTTTATTTAATATAATCATCATATTAGCTGTATGTAAACTATTGTTGTAGTTGAAGTGTTGTAGTAATACTTGTACTTTGTTGTTATTTTGGAAAAAAAAGGGTTAAATACTTTTAAAACTCAACAAATATTATCCAATTAGGATTTTTTTCTATCTATGTAGATACAGCCAAGCGAGCTCTCCCTTTGGTTAGGAGCTGGACTGAAGGCCTTACATGTTAGATTTGGTGTGCCCCATTTCTCTTGGTGGTTTCAAGTAGCAGCCAGGGTGGAGAAACCTGTTTAAATCTGAATGT